AGATCAATGCATACAGCACATTAATTATGTTAATTGACTGTAATGAGTCAAATGGAGCTCCATTATGACTACAGGGAACAAATCAACGCAATACCAGAAGCAACCAACTACTACACATGTTCAAGCCAAAACTTTTAGACATGCTGTACTACCATCCTCCCACCTTTGAGAGATGTTACAGACAGTGTTTTCCATTAGACCGCAAAACACCCACACTTAAATCAGTCATTCAAGTGAGATCCAAAATGGAACATGTTGAAAAGCTTCCACCCATTAGGAGACCTGCAGCAAGAGTGTTCTCACCTGCATGACTCAAACGCTGCTTTTTCACGGTATGTTATGGCACAAACTCGAGCAAACTCTCACGCTTCTTTTAGGTGTTCTTTCACAAACAGTGGCTGGTACAAGGTGCTGTTTTTACCTTGACTGCAGACAAGTTTCCAAACAAGCCGAGCTGGAGCTAAAAGGTGAAGTGAAAATACTGCAGACCCAAGAGTTTTTAACGTTGGCACCTGTCATTGTTTCAACAGCATCTTGCAGCAGTGCTCAACTCTGACACACATGGGCACAGCTCCTTGTTTTCAAGAAAGACGGTGGCTGCAAATCCCTGTGCACAGCTTATATATCCACAACAATTGGCTATGTTCAATTTATACACCTTTTTTTATTTCTTATTTGCTTTTTCCATTGGCCCAAGATTGCCGCTGCTGCGATGCACAGCTTCTTTTTTGTGCACAAATATCTCGAAATGTCCTGCACTTGAAGCAGTCCCAAACTTCCACAGTGCCTTTATTACACATAAATGTCAGAGTACTGTTTACATGTATATTGTTAGAGCAGTTTCACAGTGGTGATAAGAGATTATTCTTCAATTTCAGTGACATGTAGAGGGAGCCATCAACAGTGAAAAGCTAAGTGTTAGACACATAAACTGTAAAACATGAGGAAATTTAACAGCATAAATAAAACAATAACCCTATAAAGAAAAAGAGGCATAAAAACAATGAAAATGATGAGAAGGATGCAACACTAAACACTCACAGAGCTAAATGCTTTCAGAATGGCACAAATAATGGTTCTCACAACATTTGCCACCTTGGTGTTGCTATACTAAAGTGGAGCTTCAAATATGTCAAAGGTTTCAAAAGCCTTTATGGGATCATTACATCAAAGTATTTAGCATCAGCATTTTAGGCTTCTGATCCTGATCCCATCTTTTAAATTCAAATCTGATCTGATAGTTTGCCTTTACTATTGAAATGTATAAAGCTGAAATATGTTTTAGCAAGTAACTCAAGTTCATTTTCTAAGACTATTTTCATTTTTGGGCATTACCATTATTGTTGTAAATACCATGAAATCAACTTCCTGGTTTTAGACCGGATGTAGAATGGGTTAGGCTAATGCTAGCTCTCTTACACAGCGTTGTGAAAGTTACTTTTAAAACGTAATTAGTTATAGTTACTAATTACTTTGTCAAAAAAGTTACTCAGTTACGTACAGAGTTATGAGATTATAAAAGTAACTAATTACCAAGAAAAATAACTACTTAGTTACTTTTTTCATTAAAGAATGCAAAAAAATGGGTTAATTAAATGTACTTAATTTACTATAAATGACTACAATAGTGAAATATAAATGACTAATGACTGGAACATAATAAAATGTATGTCCAAATGTTTTTTATAAACCTGAATAATTTAAATAAATAAGCACTTAACAGGAGGAACTACTAACATGAAAATTGCACTTATCTAGACTATTAAAAGGTCACTGTGTAATTTTTAACAAGACCCCAATCAGCTAAAATTTAAAATTGCAAATACAAACACCTGTAAAGGTTCCCGAGCCTTTCAATGGTCTCTCAGTCTGGATAAATTACAGAAATAAATGTAAATTTGTACAGAATTTTAATTTTTCCAGTGTGTTTTAGTAGCATTTCTGTTGCTGCTAATCTAGTAATGGTTAAATAAATAAATAAAATCCTTTAAAATTACACTAGAAGAGGCACAAACCTGATGGAGGACTTACATTTCCTAACTTGGGTCAGACCCAACCACAGAAGAGCTGAAGCTGGGTGGTAAAGACACACAGGTAGTTCTAATAACACCTGAGCTCCATGACGTTTGAGACTGATGCATCAGTGATACAGCGGGACTAAAGACGTGATCAGAAACAGGTTACAGCTGGATGATCTAGGAAGGTAGAAGATCAGGACGTCTGAGCGGTGAACAGGTGAGGACCTTCGGGATGTCCCGCTGTCACGCTGATTGGTGTAGACTATTCATCACGTCTTCCTCGTTCTTCACGGGCCGTGATGCACTTGGATGAAAACATCTGCTTCTTTAGCTCCTGATCAGCTGATGACAGCTTCAACACACCGCGCTGCTTAACGGACGCTTTTACTTATCAGTAACAGAAACAACGTTTTGATAAAAGAAGACAGTAATTAATTAGTTTGCTCATTACTGAAAAATATTTTTTTTTATTAATGCGGTTATTTTAAACGGCGTTATTCCCATCACTGCTCTGTTGGGTCTACAGCAGGCTGTGACTGAGACCGTGAGGGTCTCCGCCCACCCGGCCAATCATCATCGTGTTTGTAAGTGCGTTACCGACACCTCTCTCTCCCTGGCTGCAGCTGAAGTGTGGCGGTCAGAAAGCCTCACGCTGCTGCTCAACGTTCAACAAGCACATAGTAACGCACAACCTTCCGTCCCCAGTAGCGGTAACGGCGTTGCAACAGTGGGAAAAGTAATTAATTAGATTATTCCGTTACCCAAAAAAAGAACGCTGTTAGTAACGCCATTATTTTTAACGGCGTTATTCCGATCACTGCTCTTGCTGCAGCATACGTCTCCACAGGAAACGTCGGGTCCGCTTCCAGAATTACGGAGAATCGCAGATGCAGCAGAGCGGGACGTAAACTCCAGGATTATGGAACTTTCTGGGAGGGCTCTTGAAAACTCCTGGAGCTCTGCACATTAAATTGATTGTTTACCGCAGAGATCAGCTGTGGGCGCTGCTTACGCTGGCTCTCTCTTCACGAAAACCTGGTTCTGCCTCCAGAATTGAGCTCTAGAGAGGGAACGGAGATATAAACCATATCTACCCTTCCTGATTATGGTAAATGTTTGCTCTCTCCCCAATAAAATGAACAAGCTCTCAGCGCTGACCTGGCTGCAGTGGGACTACTTACAGCCAGATGTTTTTTTGAGGAAGACGTGGATGAACAAGCTCATAGCAGACTGAGGAGATCAGGTGGACTCATCAGTTGTAATTGCCGATCGACGATCACTAAAAAACATGAAAGAATCTGCCCGACCCGATCTTGGGATAGAGACATCCCTACATCAAACTAATGCACAAAACGTAATTTTTGTATTATTAATTTGTCTTTTTCAAGTTCAAGGTTGTGACAAAATATGTGTTAGGGATGTCCCAATCCAATATCTATATCGGAAGTAATTTGAAATCGGCCACAAAACACTTCTCGGATTATACTCCGTCCAAAAACTCAGATAAAAGTAGTTTGTTACGCTTTAAATTCCATTCCAGCAACTCTATTCTATACTTTTGCATCAAGATGAAATATATGCCATTTAAGGTAACATGCTCCACCATGATGGAAAGGGAATGGTAGGTTGGTTGGGAAGAGTTAATCTCGGATGAATGTCTATAACTATTCATAGCTGTGTTCTGAACCCACTTCCCAGGGTAAGAAGGTACTCCACACAGGAATGGTCTCAGGATGCTTTACCATTGGCACAATGCAGAAGCGATGGAAAAGCCCACCTTTAGTTTTCCCTGACAATCCCAGATACCCCAAGCGATCTAAAATGGGATGTAACAGGAATACCCACTTTACCAAACAGTTTGATTGCTGTTTTAGTGTTTCCCTGATATAAGAAGAAGAAGAAGAAGAAGAAGAAGAAGAAGAAGAAGAAGAAGAAGAAGAAGAAGAAGAAGAAGAAGAAGAAGAAGAAGAAGAAGAAGAAGAAGAAGAAGAAGAAGAAGAAGAAGAAGAAGAAGAAGAAGAAGAAGAAGAAGAAGAAGAAGAAGAAAGAATGCATTGAACTTATATAGCGCTTTTCTAGACCCCCAAAGACACTTTCACACACTCACGTTCACACACTGCTAGTGATGGTAAGCTACTTGTAGCCACAGCCGCCCTGGGGAGGTCTGACAGAGGCGAGGCTGCCATTTGGCGCCGTCGGCCCCTCTGACCACCACTAACACAGGCAAGTTGGGTGAAGTGTCTTGCCCAAGGGCACAACAGCAGGATACCCCTGGCGGGAGCTGGAATCGAACCCATGACCCTCCGATCATGAGGCAACCCGCTCTACCACCTGAGCTACTGCTGCCCCCATGATATGTTTCCTAGAGAAAGGGGCTTCTTTCCTGTCCTTCACACAAGGCCTGAGATATTTATGCAATGATAGTACTCCAATCCAGAAGCTAGGGGGACTTTAACAGACAACCCTGGAGATCTTTTTGGCCATAAAAGCCTTTTACACAATAGAAATTGATTTTTTTGGGTCACTCTTCATAACATTCAGGAGTTTATGTAAAATGTCATCTTAGAAACTGAGTTAGCAAGCATCATGACAGTTAATATTTGTACACATGATTCAATTTACTGCATGATACCGAGACAGTACATCAGTTTTAATGGCATTGTAACAAATTAATCAAAAAGTAAAACGAGCCACATGCACAGACGCATCCACAAGTTGTGAAGTGGTCTGCACACTGCGCCTGGTAGCTGTGCAGTGGGAATCTATGGACTACTGCTGGTGCCACATTATAAAAGGGGCCGGTGTTTCTAGTCTAATGCTAGAGCTAATGGACTGGAAAGAGTGAGTGTCAGAAAGAGAAGGAGGGTAAACGAGAGATCATGCACACTAGCAGGCAAAACGACGTGACACGGGACAGAAGCTGCATGTGGGTTCTGCCTGTTTCACTGTGACTGGGAGTCTTCGTGTTTACTGATAACTTACCAAAATCGGAATCATAGAAGAGGACAAACTTCTGCCAGCTGTACTCAGACACCACCTGCATGATGACCTCGTTGAGGTACACAGGTGGGCGGACCATTAGGGTGTAGTCATCTGCTCCTTGAATGCGGCTGGTGGGCGGGCAGGCTGACCGGGGTGTTCCCACTGGGGAGCGCTGAATGTAGAGGTGGGGGATGTGCATGGCATCAGCCAGGGTTTGAAGACTGCTTGCCGACATGCAGCCGATTGAGCTGACGAGAGCCAGAATACCACGGTTCATCAGCTCACAGGCTGGATGAAAGGGAGAGAAGAAAACACAGAGGATTATGTTACTTTATAATCTACATTTCCTTTAATCCAGAGGTTTGCATTATTTTGTGAGCTCAGTGATTGTTTGGGCTAAAAGGGCACAAGATCAAGTCAAGCTATAAAATATAAAAGCAACAATTGCTAAATCAGCAAAAAAAAACTATAACAATTGATACGGCTTTAATATACAAGTGTACAAAATAGAAAGAAATAAAAGTAACTGTGTATGCACAATAAAAGCAATGTATTCTGCTCATCCAGGACAAAGGGTTAGTGAAAATAAATGGGATTTCATCGTTGACTACAAAGGATCAAGGGTTCTGGCGGCTTTGATGAGAAAACGTAGACTGTTCCACAGATCATGGGCCATCACCAAAAAGAGGTCTGGCATCTCTATTTTTGAACCTGGATCTAAGAATGTGCAAAAGTAATTGATTTGTAGACCTCAGTGCTCTGGCTGGGGTGTGGGGGTATAAAAGTTCAAACAAGTCAGTAGGTGATATAGCATTAGGACTCAAAAACAAGTAATGAGATCCCTAAATGGGTTCTGAAGTAGACTGGAAGAGAATGCGGGCTGGCCCTGGGCAGGTTTGACGTGATGGCGTTGTTCCTCTTCTGTCAGAAGGCAGGCAGCTGCCTTCTGCACAGCTCACAGGTACCCAACAAAACCAGGCCAACACATAAAGTCATGTAAAGAAAACTAAGCCTTCACTTGACTGAGGAAAATATGCTAAATTACAAATGTTTTCATTCTAAAGGACCACAACTTCAATGACTACAGTTTCTTATAGATAGTTTAGTCTTGTTTTCACAAATGCAACCTTTGTTTTAAAGCCTAAAACCATTGTAAGGTCCCCAAAAGCTCATTTAAGGTATATTTCCTCTGTATGACCAACATATGCCCAAGTAATGATTGACCCTGAACCATCAAAATCTCCCTCCATTGTCATGGATATAAGACACTTGGAATGAATGATTGTTTTTTGGATCATTGTCCTTCAGCATCTTTTAAGTTTAATAGTTTATACGTTTTCTCTAAGTTATGACCACTAGACCCTACTTCACTCTGGAAGCATCAACGGCACGGAACGGATCGATTCACTTGGGAGCTTCGCTGCGAGCCAGTACTCGCCGCCATGCTCCTTGCTGGACTCACGCAACGCATCTTCACACCCGAAGCGTTGGAAAATGACGATGGGTGACAAAGCATTTGTTTCCGATGCGTTGGGACTCCCAACGCTTCGGGAGGCGATAAGCTGTGCCAGAGCATTGGTTTCTGACGCTAGCGGTAAAACGCACATTTAACCGACATTTAACCTCTAACCTCTTGCTATGTAACCTTCCCCTCACCCACATCCTAACCTTAACCCTGTTGCTCATTCTAAACTTCCCGTTAACCGTGTTAGAGATGGACGTTACAACCAGAAACAAATTTTTGCATGCGCAAGAGGGTTAAGGTTAGGATGGGGGTGAGGGGAAGGTTAAATAGCAAGAGGGTAAATATCACAATTCTGTGAAATCTCCATTTTACAGCGGCAGTCAGAAAACGACACGCTGGGACTACCAACGCGTCGGAAACAAACGCTTGGTGACCCATCGTCATTTTTCGACGCTTCGGGTGCGAGAATGTGTTGACTCACAAGATCACAGAAACAAAAAAGACTTCCGCCATCCCCCTTGCTACACTTGTGAGATCGCAAGATCCCTCGAGACTTCAAAGGTCACGGTTTGTTAATTTGAAACTGAAATTGAAATTTGGAGCTATGATGTGTTAGCTACAACTCCACCACCTTGAAAATAACATACTGGTAGATTCCTGCTCTGATAGTAAGACTTGTACAAGATTTAAAACCACCATGGTTCCTGGATAAAAACAGTTCCTAAGGCGAGAACGTGTCTATAGTTTCACACAAACTGCCTTAAGTTATTTTAGGGGGAAATATCTAAAAACAAATAGAACAGGAACACTGATAGTATTTATATTAAACTTCACTGGAAAACAAATTATTTTGGTCATTATGAATATTTCATGAAAAACTATGTAGGCATGTTAAAAAGCATCTCACAAGGACACTTAAAAAAATAGATATGAAAATGCAATAGCATTATCATTTTATGATGTATTTGCTATTTGTGATTTTTCTTAAAAATAAACATTCTAATGCTAAAACAGAAAACAAACACTGAATGAAATCCTCTTTCAAAAGATTATGATCAATCTTCCAGTTGTTTTTGTTCTGCTGCTTAAGTCTGCCTCAGCTCTGAGACGCCATGTTCTACTTTACCTCCCTCTTGCGCCTTTGGTGTTTTCAAAACACCTCCACCTCCAACCCTCTCACCCCACTCCCCCCTGTTATCCCGCTTCTTGTCCCAAATAGCCCTCTGAGTTGTTACCTTTCAGTCCCAATCATTTCATATCCACAGTCTTGCAGTGATTTTCATTTTAATTGCCTTGCAGCACCACAGGATGCAATGTTCTGTCCTCAGTTTGGAGTCAAGCGTCTTCCTTTTCCACCTACCAATCTCCAGTTTTCACCATCTTTACTCTGCGTCCTCCCTCCATCTCTTGTTTATGCTGGTGGCAACACCAACACCCCCCTAACTTCTTTCATTCTGTCGCTACGTCTACCGTCCAGCTTGTTATTTTATTTGTCTTTTCAACCAGTTCCCACCCACACTGTGTGTTTGTGTGCTTGCCCCTGCCTTCCATCCCTCATCCATCTTGATCTGCATTTCAGCTCTCACTTCTCCTCTTCTATTTCTCTGCTCTGTGGTTTTCATTATTAGATGTGTCTTTAATTTCTAGGTGACTGGAAACTCGTCACAGAGACTCTGGATGAAACAAAACATGATGAAAAACAGAATGCGGAGAACACACACACACACACACACACACACACACACACACTGTGCAAATGCAATGTATAATAAACACTCCTAAAACAGACATTCCGAATGCCACAGGGAGTTTTCTGTTGACAGTGCAGAAATAAAGCCAAAAGAAAGAAAAAAAAGAACACAAAGTAAAAAAACAAACAAAAATGTCTACAAGAAAGAGCTTGGGGAGACAGATTTCTGGTGCTGAGAGAGGCAGAATAAAACATCGTATGAGCGCATGCATGTGTGAAAAGCAACATAGAACCATACAGGTTGACAGGGACTCCTAAATGCGCTGGGCTGCAAGAAAACAACCTAATGATTTGGATCTCAGAGTAGTTGACTAAGAAGTTCCAAGTCGAGCTAAATGAAAGTTTATCTCCATTGCATTTTTAAAACAAGTAAATTAATTAACACCCTCAGCTAGCTAAAAATACAAAAAGGTGTACGTCGCGTGTTAACCTTCGTGTGAATTATGCAGCAGCGTGGTGTTTTATTTTTAAATGTGTAAAAAATGTAAGTTAAAGCATCCCTTGTTTAACATTTATCATTTTAAGCGGCACAACACCATTCTGGATGGGCAAAATGACCCAGTGCACAGCTTTAAAGGTATAAAAGAAATGTCCATTTAAATTCAATCTATGTTTCAAAATGGCTCCAACCGTCACTCCAGCAGTTCAGTGACGGATTTTTAATTTGGAAGCAATAATGTTAAATGTGTGAGCACACACCCGATCTGCTTTTAACACCAAAACATTGTAAGAAATGATTTTCCTTCACAGCAAAAGCCAAGAGGTTAGATTAGTCATACATTCCCTCCAGGCGTTGATACAGATGATTAATGAGTGGAAGCCAAAGCAGTTTCCATCCAACTGCCCACTGCACGAGTCTACATTTTGAGAAATTAATTAAAGCATAACAATATATGATTAAACTTCACTGAGTCTCAGTATGCTGCTTAGTCATGGTTATTATTCTGAAATCAGTGAGCCAAGGAATCATCTTCTATTTAAGAGTGACTAAATATTGAAGAACACACGTGCCTTTGGGTATCTGGTGGGATGAGTCGGCAGTTTTATCGATATGTAGATTGTATGAGTGTGCTAATCTTTTTTCACGAAGCACATTACCCATATTTCCCATCCACATCATAATGGTTATATTATGCTTTAGCTCCGTTGCTTCAGTCTGGCTATAGCACATTAGCTTAGCATTATCAAGGCTTTGGCTAATGGAAGGCTTTGCTAATCCGGTATTTATTAGAGCACTTTGGAGATTTAGTGCCGTCATCCCCTTCTATATTACATACTCTTTAGTCTGTGGGGGTCTTCTAAGCGCTAGGCTCCTTAATATTCTTGCTAATGACTTAAAGGACCTTACTTTGCATCACTCTGGTGTCGACGACAATCAAATGAGAGCAAAAACAAGAAACCACTCGAGTACCTACAGAAAAAGTATGAATGTGGTGATCTGAAAAAGTTTGACTTCTGTGGTTGAAAATACAGCAGTCACATTTTAATTCCAAACTTCAAAAGCACAGATGGTAGTTGTGACTTTGAACAATAAAGTGGGTTTGGATTATTTATTTTTTAAGAGAGATTGTGTTGGACTGGAAAACAAATAAAAAGTGTAGTCACTTCTTGGATTTTGTTTTCGCCTATCGATTCAAGCCATCACTAAACAACAAAACCAGAGTTTTATACCCCCGCACACATAGATCATTCTCATACTTAGGCAGCAGGCAGACGGATGCTAAATCTTTCGAGAATAAATCTCGCTAAAGAAGCTAATACCTGTCAAGCAGTCATTGAGAGGTG